TCTCTCTCACTGATGCCCGTGTGTTTGACCTCCTCCTTCCCTCCTCCTCCTCCCTCCTCATTCCCTCCTGCCTCCTTCCTTTCCCGCACACCTCCTCCTCCCCCTCCTCCTCCTCCCTACCCTTCCCTCCTCTCCTTCCCATCTTCTCCCTCCCAGCTCCTCCTCTTCCTCCTGCTTCCCTCACCTTCGTGGAATCGGTGTATTTCTTCAGCATCTCACTGACGCGTTTGTTGATACACACTCCGAAGTCACTGAAGCCCAAGTGTTTGGAGAAGGCGGTGCCGACGCATGCCAGACCTTCCCCGCAGCGTCCGCTCATCCAGTCCTCCTCAGGTCCGCACGCGCTGCCCCTGCGTGCGTGCGTGTGCGCGGTGGCGCCCCCTAACGACGCCGTCTCAGCGCTCGTCTGCGCGTCTATCGTTGCTATAGGGACCGTGTGTGTGTGTGTGTGTGTTTGTGTGTGTGTGCGTGTGTGTGTCTGTGTGCGCTTGTGTGTGCGCGCGAGCGTGTGTGTGTGTGTGCGCGCGCATACGCGTGAATACGTTCGTGTGCGTGCGTGCGTGTGGTCTCTGGCGTGCATGGTTGCCTGCGAGAGGCACTCGGTGATGTGTGACCAGGAGACGGGTGAGTGCAAGGTGACGGTGGAAGGGCCGGACTGCAAGCCGCTAGGAGACTGTCAGTACGGAGTCGCCAAGCCAGACTGCTCATGCTGCGAGGTCTGCTCCAAGGTAAGCCACCCGCTATATACGTGCGTGCGTGCGTGTGTGTGTGTGCGTGTGTTTACAGCCTGGGTCAGGCGGCCGTTCAAGTAGGTTCTGATTAACAGGGTGCGTGACGTCACAGCTTACCATGCACGCCAGAGACACGGCCGCCTGACCCAGACTACAGTAGGTACTGATTAACAGGGTGCGTGACGTCACAGACTGCCCTGCACAGAGTGGGTGACGTCACATAGGTCGTTTCTCGCGAATCTCGCATTTTCTCGCGATAATAACTACACAGAATCAAGGAGCACTTGCACAGAATCAGATGCCCGTTTTGTTTGAGCTTGTTAGGTGCACTTGTTTTGCAGTGTTATGTGGAAAAACCCCCGAGTGCTATTGCGCAACATAGATATTTAGATCGCTGGGGAATTGAAGGTGGCAACAGTAAATATTCATAAGCAATCATAGAAAGAGTAATAAATCAGGAAAGCTGGCGAACTGCCAGGACCAAGGGTGTTGCGCAACCAGCACGCCAAATTCCTAACTAATTACTTAACTCACTACTTAACGTCACTAATTAACTATGGTAGAGCGCCTCCGATTGGGCGAGAGTGAGGGGAAGCCCGTGTATAGGTCACAGAGAGAGAGAGAAGGGGGGAGGGAGAAAGAGAGAGAGAGAGAGGGACAGCGAGAGAGAGAGGGGAGAGAGAGGAGGGGAGAGAGGAGGGGAGGAAGCCAGTACAGTACAGTAGCAGTAGCCAGCCCAGCAGCAGCAACCACATGCAGCTCAGCAGTAGTGTAGAGCACATAGTAGCACCGCAGCAGCGAGGTGCTGATAGTGTAGCGGAGTAGCAAGAAGTAGCAGTAGCATTTAGAGCGAGCGAGCAGAGGGCAGCAGCACGGGACGTCGGGCAACATCGTCATTACCCTATATATTAATGGTCGGCATAAATCGGCAGCTGCTGTGCGGGTTAGCCGTAAAGACGCCGGGCTCGTAAAACTCGGTCATGCGTCCGCTGGGCACTGACTGGACCGCAGCCGGCTCGGCAGTAAAACACGAGTCGACGGATAATAAAGGCGACGGCGATGTTCCGTGCACGCGCCTCACGCGATTACACACGCCTGGCTTGCAGCTCACACCGCTCACATTACACACCGCCTCACATACACACCGCCTCACATACACACGCCTTCCACTCCACACCGCCTCACATACACGACCGCGCGTGCAGGCATACACACCGCCCCTCACGATACAGCAGACCGCCTACACATAACATACCGCCAGTCACATACACACCCCTTCTACTACACCTGCCTCACATACACACCGCCTCCACATACACACGCCTCACATATCACACCGCCTTCCACTGCACACCGCCTCACATACACGACCGCCCTCACATACACACCGCCCTTCGCACTCACAGAGTCACACCGCCCTGCACATACACACCGCCTCACATACACAGCCGCGCTCACATACACAACCGCCTCACATACACACGCCTCACATACACGAGCCGCCTTGCACTCACCGCCTCACATGCGCGAGAAGCGAAGGCCGCCTCGACACTACACGACCGCGCCCTCACATAGCAGCACCGCCTCACATACCACACCGGCCTCACATACACACCGCCTACATGACACACCGCCGTCATCACAGCACACCGCCTCACACACACACCGCCTGCAGCACACACACCGCGCGTTCCACATACAGCACGCGGCCTCACATACACACCGCCTCACTTAACAACGCGCCTCCATGGACACACCGCTGTCACCGGGGCGTTCACAGTACACACTCGCGCCTTCATCACAGGCTGTACTCACCGCCTCATCGATACCACCGCGCTCACACTTACACACCGCCCACCATACACACCGCCCACTACACACCACCTCACATACACAGCCACTACATGACACACCGGCCTCACCATACACACCGCCTCACATACACACCGCCTCACTCCACCGCCTCAGCATACACACGCCTCACATACACACGGCCTCACCTCCATACACACCACCTCACATACACACCAGCCTCAACATAACACCGCCTCACTACACATCGCTCACATACACACCGGCGCTCACGCATAGACACGCCTCACATACACGACCGGCCTTCACTCACACCGCCTCGACATACAACACCCGCCTGCACATGACAGCACGGCCTCACTATACCACACGCCCTCCAGCATACAACCGCTGCACATACACAGCCACCTTCACATTACACACCGCCTCACATACACACGCTCAACATACACATCGCTCAGCATACACACGGCTCTCACCATACACCGGCGCTCACATACACACCGCTCACACACACACCGCCATCCACACACACATCACCGCCCTCACATACACGACCGCCTTCAGCATACGCACACCGCCTTCACGTCCACAGCCGGCACATAGCACACCGCCCTCACATACACACCGCCTCACATACACACCGCCTCACATACACACCGCCTCACATACACACCGCCTCACATACACACCGCCTCACATACACACCGCCTCACAGTACACGAACCGCCTTCACAGCCGCCTCACATACACAGGCCTCTCACAGACCACACCGCTCTCCAATACACACGCCTCACTCACACCGCCTCACATCCACACCGCCTCCACATACACACCTCCCTCGCACATACACACCACTCTCACATACACCACCGGCCGTCACCATACACACCGCCTCACATACACACCGGCCCTCCACATACCACACCAGCCTTCCTCCACCTACCGCCTCTCACATATCACACCGCCTCACATACACACCGGCCTCACATACACACGCCTTCAGCATAACACCGCCTCACATACACACCGCTTACTCACCCGCCTCACATACACACTCGTCACATCACACACCCGCCTTCCACTCACACCGCCCTCAATACACACCGCCTCACATCACACCGCCGTCAATACACAGCGCCTCCGACACACACCGCGCTCACATACACATCCGCCTCACAAACACCGGCCTCACTACACACCGCCTCACATTTACACACCGCCTACATGACACACGCCTCACATCACACCGCCTCACACACACACCGCTCACACACACACCGCCTCACACACACACCGCCTCACATACACACCGCCTCACATACACACCGCCTCACATACACACCGCCTCACATACACACCGCCTCACATACACACCGCCTTCACTCACACCGCCTCACATACACACCGCCTCACATACACACCGCCTCACATACACACCGCCTCACATACACACCGCCTCAACGGCGCCTTCACTCACACCGCCTCACATACACACCGCCTCACATACACACCGCCTCACATACACCGCCTTCACTCACCACCGCCATAATTACCACCGCTCAGCATACACACCGCCTCACATACACACCGCCTCACATACACACCGCCTCACATACACACCGCCTCACACACACACGCCTCACACACCACACCGCTCTCACAACACACACCGCCTCACACACACACCGCCTCACACACACACGCGCTCTACAGCGACACACGCGCCTCGACACACACACCGGCCTCAGCAGCACACACCGGCCCTCACACACAGCACTCGCCTCACACGACACCACCGCCTGCACACACACACCGCCTCTAGCACACACACGCTCACTACACACCGCCCTCAATACACACCGCCTCACATACACACCCGGCCTCAATACACACTCGCCTCACATACACACGCCTCACATACACACCGCCTCACATACACACCGCCTCACATACACACCGCCTCACATACACACCGCCTCACATACCACACCGCCGCCTTCACTTCACACCGCCTTCACATACACACGCCTCACATACACACCGCCTTCCTCACATACACACCGCCTTCACGGCCGCCTCACATACATACGTACGTTACGCACGCATGCACGCACGCACGCACGGCACAAACGCACGACGCACGCAGCACACACACACACACACCACACACACACACACAACCACACACATACATACATACAATGCTGCTCTCTCTTCTCTCTCTCTCTCCTCTCTCTCATCTCTCTTGCTTTCTCTCTCTCTCTCTCTCTCTCCTCCTCCCTCTCTCTCTCTCGTCTCTCTCTCTCTCTCTCTCTCCTCTCTCTCTCTCTCTCTCACTCTGGCGCCGTGTGCTCTCCTCTTTATCGCGCCTCTCTTCTCTCTCTCTCTTCTCTCTTCACTCTTGCCGCGCGGAGTCGATCCAGTTGTCTCTCTCTTTATTGCGCTCTCTCTCTCTCTCTCTCGCTCGCTCTCTCTCTCTCTCGGCCGCGCCTCCTCTTCTCTCTCGTCTCTCTCTCTCTCTCTCTCTCTCTCTTCTCTCTCTCTCTCTCTCTCTCTCTCTCTATCTCTTCTCTCTCTCTCTCTCTCTCTCCTCTCTCTCTCTCTCTCTCTGCTCTCTGCTTTCTCACCTCGATGGAATATCTTTTTCAACTGTTCGGCTGCCGTCTGTGGTCTCCTCTTGCTCTCTTCTCGTCTTCTCTCTCTCTCTCTCTCTCTCTCTCTCCTCTCTCGTCTCTCTCTCTCTCTCTCCTCTCTCTCTCTCTCTCTCTCTCTCTTCTCTCTCTCTCTCTCCTCTCTCTCTCTCT